CCATTAGATCTGTACTGTCCCCTTGTCACCCTATACATCTTATTCTTTAAGCCCCAAACCATATCTCATTCTGACTGCAAAGCAGTTCTAAGTAAAGCAGGCATTACACAATGTTCCATAAGCATATGAATGAAATCATGCAAAATCAATAAAATGATTTTTTTTTTTCTTCCACAATTCTTTCAAACGCATTTAAACAACCTTACCATCCACAAACAACTGAAAAGGAGAGTATTTCATTTTCACTTCTGTCTTTCAAGTAATTCTGTTTAGGATTATGTTCTGTCTCTCTACCACAGGCTTATGAACGGAACAGATTTGATATGGAGGGTTTTCATTATTTATAGTTGTGTTAAGTGTACTCTCTCGTGCTCTCTCTTTCTCTCTCACACACAGAATGTTGGCTGTCTCTGAAAGGGAAATTCAAAATAAAAGTGAAAAAGGCTAAATGAAAGAGAGATGTGCATGGAAGTGAAGCTACACTCTAAAAAATGCTGGGTTGTTTCAACCCAATTTTGGGTCAAATATGGACTAACCCAACTGTTGGGTTAAATTTTAGTTACATTTTTAAATTAACTTTTTAACCCAACATTTGGGTTAGTCCATATTTGACCCAAAATTGGGTCGAAACAACCCAGCATTTTTTAGTGTATAACAAGAGAAAGAGAAACTTAATTATAAAGCAGACGAGAGAGACAGAAACGGGCAGATATGTGTATTTAATTATAGTGTGTGATTTGTTGTTTGCTATGATATTCTGCTTGCTTCTTCCTACTTCTTCATGTCTCTCATAGTAACTGCAGCATGTGTGCACAGCGCTGGACTCTGGGGCTGAATTTTATGGATCACTTCCACAGTTCTGGAACCTAAAACATCAACAGCAGAATGGGCTGACAGGTGGCTGAATCCAACACACATACAGTCATGACACACAAACAAACACATGCAAGCCTGCACAAGATAGCATATAGCATGTAAGCAGAAATGTGGGTGGAATTATGGGAACTTAAGTTTTAACTACTTTCTCTTAGTTTCTCATTTATTTTCTGACCTTTAACCTTGTTAGAAATCAAAGGATCAAATTAATCACATTCAAATGTTGTTTTACTTTCAAGATTGTATGACTTGTCAATGAAATTCTGACAAATGTTTTAACTTTTTTTTTTTTTTTTTGCATTGAAATGCAATATAAGTACTTTTTTTTTTTTTTTATTAAAACAATTCAAAATGTATTTATTTTTTTTGTTTTTATTTATTTATTTTTAAACGATTTGGAAACAAGAAACAATGCAAAGGAAGACATTGAAAAAAGGGTTATTTATTTTTTTATTTGTATTATTTATATATATGTATATATATTTTTTTATACATATAAAAATCTTCAAATTAAATTATTTTGGGCACCTCTGCTATAAAATGACAATCTTCTGTAATCATTTTTTATTCACTGAAAAAAATGGTGTTGGATTTAATTAATAAGAATATATAAGAGTTTTTACTCAGAAATTGCTAGTAAATTTCACAGGAAACAGCAAGTAACAAACACATTGAATTAATATGGAAGCTTGTTTCCAACAAGGCATAAAAATTTAAAAATTGAATTTTTCTCACAATACTGACTTTGTTTCAAAATTCAGATTTTTTTTTATGCAATTTGTAGAAAAAGTAATTCTGAAAAAAATGGAAATAAGTCAGAATATTGTAGTTAATATTGTAAAATTCTGAATTTTTATTTTAGAATTCTGACTTTTTTTGAGAGAGAGTTTTGTGAAAAGTCTGAATTGTGAGAGAAAGTTGCAGTTAAATTTTTTTTTTTCATCCCATGGTGGAAAAAGCCTTCCTTAAATTAAGCATGAAATGTTTAAGCAAAAAGTCTGAAAAAATGCACTGAAAAAAATTTGAAAATTTTCACTCAGAAGTTACTAGAAAATTTCACAAAAACATTTACAAAGAAACCGCAAGTAAAACATTGAATTACACGTGAAATGTATAAGTCAAAAGGCTGAAATAGTATTTTCTTGTAAAATGCACTCCAATAATCTTTGTTTTATTTGCTTCTAAAACTCATGTTTAACTCTTCACTTCTAGGACGTGTGTCGTTCTATCTGTGGTGCGTTTCTGAACGTTGTTGTGTTGTCAGTGCTGCAAGTAACAGGATTAAATGCTCAGAAGCTGCATGTGAACGGCAGGTTGTGAACTCGTTTGTCCATGTGAGACTGGAGAAAGTGCTGATTCAAGCTGTTTTGCACGTGTGTTTTCTCTCAGATGAGGTGTGTGTTATCAGTGAAGATCTCCTCACGCTCTCAAAACATGCATGAGCCTGCCTTCATCAACATACTGTACGTGACACGTGATGAATGGTCTTACAGAAAGTGTCTGCTTTTGTGATGTTTCTCTGGTTTTCGTGCTGCGTTTGGTCGGTTTTGTTGCTGTAGGTTTGTGTTGGAGGTTTATCAGCAGAAGAAACGCTCCAGATAAACAGAGATAGAGAGAGCGGTAAAGCCGGCGCCGACTCAACAGCCAGTTAAGACTACGCCTCCTTTGACTCAGCCCTCTGCGCGGCCTGAGTCCAGGTAGCGCTCACGCTCTGCAAAGCGCTACCCTTTTCCGAAGCACCAGGGACCCCGGTCCAAGGTTGTGCTGGATCCTGCGCCTCAAAAGCCATCCTGATCCCTCAGGAAGGAAGAGGAGGGGGCAAAGTCTCGCTGTGGCCGGACCACCCCCCAAACTGCCTCGTATGTGTTCCCAGTCGCCCCGTCCAGTTCCGGGTGCTGGGAAAAATGTGTTTATTGCATGCAAAGGGCCTGATCTCAGGATTTTGAATCGCGCCCTAGTAAAGTGCGCATTCAGAATGACCACTTTGAAACAAATCCTCTCGCTAATTCGCCCAGGGGACTGGTTCTTCTCTCTGGATCTGAAAGACGCTTACTTTCACATTCAGA